CCCCCCCCCCCCCCTTCCCAAACTCAGATTGTAAGCAACTGTGTAGACGCCTCTGGTTAAAAGGTCATTGCTTGGTATAAGTATAATAAACCTTCATTAGATGCTGTTACTTAATGAACTTATTAGGTCATCGATTTCTAGAATGTCTCATTAGCTGCTGTTACCTACAACGTCTATAATTGTCCAGTCAGTGCAAGAGTGAGACAAAGAAACAGCACACAAAAATCTGATACCATAGAAGCCAATCTTTACTCATCTCATTTCAACACATGTTTTGTTTTTTTTTAAATCTATTTCTGCATGATGGTTCAAAAGTGTCCATCAGAGTCCCTCTGGCTGAAAAAAAAAAAATCTCTAAGACTAAGAGATAAAAACCTCCAGCTAGTTGGCCATGACAAAGGAGAAACTTCAAAGCCAATCGGGATAAGGTTCATCTTTTCTTTCCTCCGTTTTCAAAAGAATAGCTGACTACACAAGATGGCATCTTAAATACTGGCATACAGAGCCAGATCAAGACTCTTAAGGGTAGGGAAAAAAAAAGATCTGGCATCCAGACAGAAAAAGTCGCCAGGGTTTCCTGAAATTTATCATACGTAGCAGTTTAAATAAAACTGTTTTGTCTTTCTTTTTGTCACAAGACCCATGGACTGGTCCAGCAGTCTTGGCTGATCTTGTTTGCAGGAAGTCTGTCATGTCTGCTGGCCACTTTGATGCACCAAGGCTTATCTGGTGACAAAATGACTTGTGGACATTACTTACTTAAAAAATTAAATAAAAGAAAAAAGTGAGACTTTTTTTTTTTTTTTTTTTTAAGCTCTGACAGTCTCTGAGAACAGTGGATTTCAGTAAAGGAGATTAGGTTTGTGTTATTTGTTTAAACTTACCACTTAAAAGAAATGATTTTTTTGATGATTCTTCACTCTTTGCTGTTGAAAGTATGAATAATTTTTAATGATGATTATAACTACAGAGATTACTCACAAAAATGTAACAGGAGTCAGGTGTTTATATAAAATAACCGTTCAAGTTTATCCAGTAATACAGCTGGGATTAGGTAGAAATCAGAGATGGTTCAGACCTCAACTGTGTTTTGGCATGGCGATCACAGACAGGATTCAAGAATAAAGCTAGTATTTCATTGATCAATGAAATCCAATAGAAACTAGCCATGTGCCCAACAGATAAGAAAGAGCTGCTACAATTGAACTAGCCAAGAAAGAGTTGCTACACTTGAACTAGCCATGTGCCCAACCGATAAGACAGAGTTGCTATAATTGAACTAGCCATGTGCCCAACTGATAAGAAAGAGTTGCTACACTTGAACTAGCCATGTGCCCAACCGATAAGACAGAGTTGCTATAATTGAACTAGCCATATGTGCCCAACTGATAAGAAAGAGTTGCTACTACAAACTGAACTAGCCATGTGCCAAACTGATAAGAAAGAGTTGCTATTACAATTGAACTAGCCATGTGTGCACACCAAGTAGATGTTTATGTTGATGCAATTACTCTCTTATTGCAAGTGATGGGAAAATTAATGATTTAAATTTTGTTCTCCAACAGCCAGTAGATTAATATAGAACCAGCGAAGGTCCTTAAACCTTTTTAGGTATAAATGTCGATCTGTTTTAGTGCAATTTCAGGTCATGGAACATTTGCTGTGATTCACTGTTTATTAAGCTAAAAAGTATTTAAGTATAAAATTATTCCTTACTAGTTATAGCTTGCTTAAATTGGCGACAGCAATGTGTGAACTTCCCATCTTGACAAAAATGCATATTTAAGAATCCAAATTTTTTGCTAACACCCCCCATCACAACCAATTTTAAACTGAATATTTATTACTCCTTATTTAAGTTGAGACAACTTCATTTTCAAAAAAAAAAAAAAAAAAAAAAAAAAAAAAAATATTTAAAATTAAAAAAAAAAAAAAAAAAAAAAAAAAAAAAAAAAAAATATTTAAAATTACGCACCAAACACAGTTGCTTTATTTAAAAAAAAAATCATTTAGCTAGTTATCAGGAATAATATTTTGTGTGCCATACAGCAAATGGAAGCAGTCAGACCACAATGAAAATATATAAGAGATAATATTTCACTTTTTAAAAATAGCCCTGTCCTTGTGATACCCACATTAAATAGCCAATACCTTGTGACACCCACATTACAAATAGCCAAGACCTTGTGACACCCACATTAAAATATCCAAGACCTTGTGACACCCACATTACAAATATCCAAGACCTTGTGACACCCACATTACAAATAGCCAAGACCTTGTGACACCCACATTACAAATAGCCAAGACCTTGTGACACCCACATTAAAATAGCAAAGACCTTGTGACACCCACATTAAAATAGCAAAGACCTTGTGACACCCACATTAAAATAGCCAAGACCTTGTGACACCATCAAAATTTAGAGAAAAAATTCATTTTAATAAGGTAAAACATGAAAAGTTGTTATTGTTTTAAAAAAAATATAAATGTGATGTAGCATTCAATGTGATGGTTGGGCTTGCATCTACATTGGCTTGTCTGTTTTTCCCAGATGTATTCCTCTGCGTGCTTATATTTCAAGGGACATGACTGATTAATAAACACTTAAAATCTTTTCAAGAAAGTTTTGATTAGTTTATCATGGCCTGTTGTAGGGGGGATGCCAGGCAGTGGCAAAACAAAATTTTGCATGGCCTTTGACGTTATGTTCTTAGGCCATTATGATATTAAGATACATCATAGTCATACTGGATTTTTTTTGGGTTAAAAATAGGTTACAGCAATCGGGCAGCCAATTAAACAAAAAATGCAAGTTCTAATTGAATTAAAGTAGCGTTAATTAAAATTGAGATATACTATCACTGATAAAACAAGGACATTTTAGACGCTATGGCGCCAGGAGAGAAATTCCTCTGTAAGATCAATGATCTCAATAATGGAATGGCATAATGATTGTTATTTTGAGGAATGGAGAGAAACGCAATAATTTATTGTGATGTTACAGGATTGTAATCCTAAGACTTAGACAAAAAAAATCAAAGCAAAAAATGAATTCAAAATAATCAATAGCCCAGATGGCTTAAACTAAGTAAGTTATCGGAAATGGTCTTTTTTGTTGTTGTTGTAACAATTGAAATTTGTTTGCTTTACTTACTAGTTTGAATGAAATCCATAAATGGATAAAGATGGCAACAACATGATCTCAGAGAGTGATGTGGCAAAAAATTCCTGGTCACATGCTCATTTAAACTCTGAATGAGGTGAGGCATGGAAGTATAGATTAGTTCAGATTACCCCCCAGGGGGGGGTGTAGGGTTTGGGGCGGGGGGGGGGGGGGGGGGGTTTGGTGGGGGGGGCCGGGTTTTGGTTTTGTTGGGTTTTTTTTTTTTTTTTTTTTTTTTTTTTTTTTGGGGGGGGGTGGCGGGGGGGGGGGGGGGGGGGGGGGGGGGGGGGGGGGGGGGGGGTAGACTTTGGTGAGGTGACCTGACTTTAGTTCTGTTAGCATTTCATTTCTTTTTTTTCTTTGATTTTGATTTCCTCTTGCTTGGGTTAGAGATGATACTCTCTTGCGCATCTAGATCACTCTCTTCCATTTCTTCATCCTCATCGTCTTCTGCTTCAGTGAAATCCATGGCCAATGACTGCCGGTGCTTGTACACATCTTGGTCATCTTTGTTAATCTGAGGGAGAAAGTCATTTGAAATGATTCAACCAACTGGTGACGAGGGGAGGTAATCATGATATTTTAAGTTCATACATTACTTTCATTTATTTTTCTTCATGTCGCTCAAAAAAAAAAAAAACGTAAACACTTGACGTGTGGAAGGGGTAAAATTTCTCTATGGCAGTGCTGCCCAAGCTTTTTGACTACGTGGGCCAAACATTTTTTTTTTCCAACCACCCATGGGCCGCAAATGACATCTCAAAAGAAAATTATTCCCATTATCAATACTTCTTACCTTATGCATAAAGAGTCATATACCAAATAGCATTATTGTCTCATCAAGTATATAAACAAAGTGATTAAAAACTGTAGCCCTTTTTTAAAGTTATATTCAGATTTGAATTTCACATGGAAGTGTCTTAATTTGAAATATTTATCAGTAGCAGGTTTAACAGCACTGTGGTAACCTCTGGCCGATGATTCTTACTACGCAGTCCTGAGACGCTGCTCCAAGGCAACCGTTTCGTCCCAGCTGCATTGGGAATTAGTTGCGTTGTGGAAACCCACTGTAGAATCCCTCTTAAAGGGCGTCTAACGCTTTCCGGGATGGGTGGGGGAAGATATTAGGACATACATTTTTCCATCCCGACTCCTGAGAAAGTCGACCGGGTGTCTTTGGGTTAGGACGGCCCCTGGCGGAGACTCTGGTTGAGCAGACTCGGGTGGGAGCTGTCCTGACAAAGGGACATCCCCGAAGTGCCGCTCCGCGGCCCGATACTGGGTTGGGGAGGGGTGTTTTGGGGAGGGCATAAAGAGCGCAATCTCGACGGCCCGCTGGCGCCATTTCTTAATGTAACATCAGTAGCACCTGCCCTCATTGGAGTTTCTAAATGTTCACCAGCCAAAGCGTTACATGTTTTTGGACTTGATGTTGGCCATGACATAGAATCCAGCTTCACTGACGAAGGTGCTTCCAAAAACATGGTCAACAATTTTTTTACAACATTTCCAGAGTTCATCAAAAGAAACATGTGTTTTCTAGAATTTATTTGACCATGCATTCTTATGTTTGTATAAATTTAAAAAATACTTTCAAGAAACGTTCCTACTGCCTCACACAATTCCTCCCTGACTGAATCACACTAACTGCAACCCATCACAGCGTGTATCCTGTTTTCTATTCATTGAACGTCTCATACTCAGTACTCTGATCTCTGAGTATCAGGTACTTGTCCCGAACATCTCCAAAATACACGATGGAGACACACTCTCCCATAACTGGCTAGACTGCCTGATAAAATAACATAGTACCATAAATGGTTCACACTGCCCACTGTAGTCATTTTATTGTGACACCTTTAGTACCGCAGTTCCCATCTCGATTACTCTGACAGGGTCCTGGCAGTAACTACCTGGCTCTGCTGATGTGCTCAACATAAATAACTATTTCCTGTCAAGCTATTCGAATTCTTAGCTTGCCAGGTATGTGATATCCCCGTTTTCTATGTTACAACTTCTCCTGTGCTCTCACGTGATTTCCCAACAAAATTAAATCAAAGAATGTGGTTTGAAAATAATTTACCCAAAAATGTTAAATTTTTTACACACGTGAAAATTTCTCAAGCTATGCCAGGCTATTTAAAATCAGCTGGAGGGTCTACTGTAACATTTGGACTAAACCAACCTTTAAATTAAACTAACCTTCAAACTAAACTACCACTTAAACATAACTACCATTTAAATTAAACTACCATTGAAATTAAACAGCCATTTAAATTAAACTGCCACTTAAACTAAACTACCATTTAATGTGAGAGAAATAACTTAACAATCGGTTTAATTGTGAGGCTAGTCAAACATTTCAGCTCTCTAGATAACATCACCAGCCTCATGACACAGAGAGAGGGGGTAACAACACAGTTCCAAGTCTGTACATAAAAATATTAATCCAAGCCTCTGGAAGTGAAGAAATAAATAAGGGAAGAACAGTGTGATGCCTGCCCAAATTTATAAAAAAATAACAACCAGTGCTATTTTACACGCTCACATTAAATAAAGCCCCATGGGCTTCCTACCTCACTTAGACGCTCACATTAAATAAAGCCCCATGGGCTTCCTACCTCACTTAAATGCTCACATTAAATAAAGCCCCATGGGCTTCCTACCTCACTTAGACGCTCACATTAAATAAGCCCAGTAGGCTTCCTACCTCACAAACTTTTGCCAGAGCGCCTAACTTCTCTGGGAAGACATTGATTTTGTTGTCGCTGACATCCAGCTTGATTAGACGTCTCATCTTACAAATATTTTCAGGCAGAGCGCCCAACAAGTTGTCGTGGAAATTCAACGTCTCCAAGTTTTTCATCCAGTAGATGCTCTCAGGAATTTCCTGAATATCATTGTGGGAAAAGTCCAGAGTTTGGAGCCTAAGGAAAAAGTAGGATACAATTAAAATGCTGAAATCATAGCCTGAGTTGTGTATATTGCCTCAGTGATGCATATTGCCACAGTGGTGTATATTGCCACAGTCATGTATATTGTCACAGTAGTGTATATTGCCACAGACGTGTATATTGCCTCAGTGGTGTATATTGCCACAGTGGTGCATATTCCCTCAGTGGTGTATATTGCCTCAGTGGTGTATATTGTCTCAGTGGTGTATATTGCAACATTAGTGTATATTGCAACAGTGGTGTATATTGCATCAGGGGTGTATATTGCCTCAGGGGTGTATATTGCCTCAGGGGTGTATAGGTTTATATTGCTGTGGTCTATATTGCCAGTCGTGTATATTGCTTCAGTGGTGTATATTGCTTCAGTGGTGTATATTGCCATAGAGGTGTATATTGCCAAAGAGGTGTATATTGCCAAAGAGGTGTATATTGCCACAGTCGTTTCATACCCAGAAATTTTTTTGAAAGAAATTTTGACAGAAAATCGATAGACGGAAATTTGATCAAACTGAAGTTTGGTCGAAACTTTTTTTTAGTCCACACGATCTTATTTTGCGTCAAATTTCATTTTGAACACATTATTTTTGTTTCACTATACAGCACAGTGCTTTCAAAAAGAAATTTGATGAAAATTTTAACGTGTGAACTGAAAAAAAATTTCACCAAACTTCAGTTAGATCAAATTTCGGTCCATAAATTTTCCGTCTACCAATTTCTTTCAAACAAATTTCCGGTAACCCAGTTGTGTAAATTGCCACTGTCGTGTATAATGCCTTTGTCGTGTATATTGCCTCAGTGTTGTATATTGACACAGTCTTGTATATTGCCGCAGAAGTGTATATTGCAGCAGAAGTGTATATTGCCACAGTCGACTATATTGCCGCAGAAGTGTATATTGCCAAAGTCATGTATATTGCCTCAGTGGTGTATATTGCCACAGTGGTGTATATTGCCGCAGAAGTGTATATTGCACCAAGGCAAGACAAGAACTGCAAAGAGAGTATTACGGTGAGAAAATAAATTTACTTTTTATTTTAAAAATTATTTTAATCCCATTTTACGATAAATCGCTTTTTTTTTTAAAAAAACGCTTTCCATGTTTAACTTTACCCTACATTTCGTTTTTCCTTTCGGAGTAAAACAAATCCTATAACAGGGCTCCAGTTCCTTTCAATTAGATTATGATGGCAGCATATTTTTAACATGACTTAAAATGAAACACATAGGGTTATTTGGCCTCAGGATTCACATTACAACAGTAGTTGAAGGCAGTGATAGAAGGAAATCTACAAGGATGACACTAATGTAAAAGGTTCTCATTTATCCCAGCATATCCTTAATGCAATTTGCAATGAAAAAAACTTTGCATTTTTACTGGTAAAATAAAGGATCATTTTCCCAGCTCATAAAATCCAACTGATAAAGCTTTAAAAACACATTATCATCAGCACACAACAAAAACTGTATATTTTAAAGACCTACAATCTACAATGACTACTGAGATATGGCTAAAAAACATTGTGCGTTAAAGATGTGGATGTTCTTGAGTTGAAATTTTCAGGCTGTACAAAAGTAAATGATGATGATGTCCATTTATAAAAGGGTAACGTTAAGGTTAGGATGGTTTGAAAATTTTTCAAAGGTAACAGCATAAAATGACCTACTGTAGGTGTGAGTCACTAAACTAATCATCATCAGTGGCGCTACAGCCCATGTAGGGAACTGGCCTGCTCCACCACATTCTCCCTGAGCAAACACCCAGCTGACGTAAGTCCTTCTCTATATTCTCGATCCATCTCAGTCTTGGTCAACCGGTGAGCCATTTGCTCTTAGGTTTCTGCCTGTAGATCACTTTTGCTGCTCTTAAACCCGGCATCCTTTCAATGTGTCCTGTACAGCCCAGTCTGCCTTTTTTTTTTTTATTGTTGCGACTACAGGTGGGCCTTTGTTCAATTGATATAGCTCTTGGTTTGTACATATTCTCACTTAACTAAGGAATTTTCTATTTTGATTTCTGAATTCAATTATCTGAGGCTCACCTGTACAGATAGGGCACATGGGGAGGGAACTCTGTGAAATGATTGTAAGACAGGTTCAAGGTCAGCACAGAGCCCAGGGCATCTGTCTTGTGCTGTGGGAAGATTGTGAGCTCATTGTGACTCAGGTCAACATTGATTAGGTGATCCATGCGGTCAAACGACTCAGGAAGCTCGATTAAACTGTTGTAGGACAAATCCAGGTGTGTGATTTTGTTGAGCTGTAAGTCAGGCAAGAAATGTTAGTTAACGAATTACATTATTGATCAAATTGAGAAAAATGTATTATTACAATTGAAACTTTAGGTCACAATAATTTTTTTTTTTAATTCCTTCAAATAATGAATATTTTTGACAATGATAAAGTAAGCAATTAGTAGTTTCTCTTATGGAATATTTATGACTATGATAATGAAAGCAATTAGTTGTTTCTGTTATGGAATATTTATGACTATGATAATGCAAGCAATGAGTAGTTTCTCATATGGAATATTTATGAAAATTACAATGTAAGCAGTTAGTAGTTTCTCTTAAGTATTTGATAGTGGGTTAATCTGAAATCCAAGACTGAAAGCAAGATACACAATTCAAACAAAACCAGTTCCATTTATTTGTCTATTTAAAAGCATCATTCTTATATTATCTTATCAATTTTCCTATATCACTACTGCAGAATACATCAATAACAGTCATCACTACTGCAGAATACATCAATAACAGTCGTTTAGGTCAAAACTCTTTGTATGTCCATGAAAGGGACAATTGAAAATAGTTAAATTCCTTGAATGAACATTGTTACAAGAGCTTCCATAAATTTTAAACTAACCGATAATAATAAACTTTTTTTGAATGACTTAACTGCATGTCTTGGCCTTTGTTTAAGGTCATCCTTGTTAGACATCAGATTCATTGTGTCTAAACAATGCAGCATTAGGAACCAATAATAAATACCTTAGCCAGGTTGAATGGGAAAATAAAAATGTTGTTGTGTGAGAGGTCCAGGTAGAGCAGGTGGTGAAGCAAGTCTATGGTGATGGGAATCTCTTTGATCATGTTGTCATGGGCATCCAGATATTCCAAGTTTTTAAGGTTTCCAAGCTCTGGCGGAAGCATTTTGATCTGAAAATAATTTTGTTTTTGTTGCTTAGAACCAGAAAGAGCAGTGCCAAGCTTTATTGCAAAAAATATTTTTTTAAAAAAAAAAGGAGATTTTAGCTTACTGGCTATTAAATTCAAATTTATGGGGCCATCCATTCCATATAGTACGTATGAAAAGAGGGAGAATTTGTAGATTTGGCTTCTGCGACCTTATGACCGGGGAGGGGGGGTTTGCGTCTCATCAGAATGTAAATACACTTATTCACAAATTCTACAATAATTATACTGATATTCTGACAGTCCAAAAATAGCATATATATAATATATATATATATCTATAATGCTTTAAAATAAAGTGTTTTGTCGGAATTATTTATAGTTTTGCCATCACTCTAATACGACTTAAACTATAACCGTATGTGTGATGTATTTTGTTCAGCTGCACCAATGGTTCCTAAAATTTTTCTATTCCTGGCGCACTTGCCAAATTTAGGTTTTCACCAGGCGTGCTGTTAAATTCTGACAAGTACACTTTCGAAATAGCGAATGTATTTAAAAATAATAAATAAAAGATAGGGTTAGATATCAGCTTGGCGACTGTTAAACATACAAAGGCAGCTACATCTTTCTCAACTTTCGATTGTTTTCCCCCACCAATCATCTGAATATGCAGTAAAATGTGATTTAATTATCATCATCAAATCCCTTAGTCCTTGGACCATTGGGGCGCCACAGATGAAATGTGAACTATTCTCCTCCATTCATCTCTGTCTTCTGCACTACGCACAGCATTGCCCAGTGTTAGTCCTGTGCACTCTTTGATGTTATCCTTTCATCTTTTTCTTTGTCTTCCTCTTCTTCTCCCTCCTCTTGTGGTGCCCTGCAATATTTCCTTTGGCAAGCCCTTATTTCCTTGTTACGTGGCCGTATCATTGTAGACTGCATTTTTTCACAGTCACCAGTAGGTCATTGTACTCCCCAATTGCCTGGCGAACCCTTTCTTTCACTGTATCATTGAAGATATGGTCCCTATAGCAGATGCCAAAAATGCCTCTGAAGCATCTCATCTCCATCGCCTTTATTTTTCTTTCAAGATCTGCTGTTAATGTCCAGGATTCCCAGGCATACAGGAAAATGGAGAGGACTAATGAACGCATCAGCCTGATTTTGGTGCTGGGGGTTATTTTTTGTCATTCCATATTTTCTTGAGCCTCGTTAGTGCTGTTGTAGTCTGAGCAATCCTGGACAACAGTTCGGGCTTGGCGCCTCCTTCTGAGACTATTGCTCCTAGGTATTTGAAGCGGCCTACAGTGTCTAGTCTTTCCTCCCCGACCTTACTTTCAATGGTGATGCCTGTGGTGTTATTTGTCATCAGTTTTTTCTTTTCGGCACTGATTAGCATACCGTAGAACGACGAGGTCTTATCAAGACGTTTTACCAGGTTGGCTAGCTCTTCTTTGTTCCTAGCCAGTCTGTCTATGTTCTACGCAAAGCGTAGGATCGTGATTGTTCTGCCACCAATGCTGACTGTCCCTTCATGCGCTTCCAGAGCATATGACATAATTCTCTCATGGAAGATATTGAACAGGGTGGGGAGAGCAGGCATCCTTGTCGTACTCCAACCGTGGTCTTGAACCATTCTGCGATGTTGTTGTTGACGAAGACTGCACTGGTGGCCTTATCTTAGAGGTTGCATATCATTTTGGTTAGGTTTGTGTTGATGTTGTAGTGCCTCATGATGGCCCATAAAGCAGCATGCTGTCGAATGCTTTCTTGAAGTCCACAAAGACGTGGCATAGGTTTTGTTGGTGTTGAGCATATTTCTCACATAGTATTCGGAGATTTAGAATCTGCTCAGGAGTGCCCCGTCCTAGCCTGAAGCCGCCTGTTCTTCAGCAATGATTTTGTCAGCATATGGTTTTAGTCGGTTCAATATGACCTTCAGCATGACCTTGCTTGGATGACTTATTAGGCTAATGGTAGCTGTAGGTTACCTTTTTTGGGGAGGGTGATAATGATTTAATTATGCAAAAGTTTAAAACCAGTTGCATCCCTCTTAAGCCCAATTAAGGTCAACTAATCAGTTCAATGATGGAGGCTGAATAACCCATCATTATATTATTTAACATTGTTGCATCATAAGGCAGGGACCCACTTCCCATCAAGATTATCAACAGCAAACCCCCCCCCCCCCCCCCGAGCCAAACCTGGTTCTCTCCTATCTTTAGGATAGTCAGTAGCCGCAACAGACATATGCCTGGTGGGAAAAAATCCATGGTGCAATTGGTCAGATCCAAGAAGGTCATTCTTCTCATGTGTTCTTTATCCCCCAGGCGATTAATGGAATTCTTCTGGGACTCACTGAGCAGTAGGAATGGGTTGTGGGCCACATTTATTATCTAGATGGAAAAAAAAAGAAGACATTTTTAAAGATACCTTACTTTTGTTATTTTTTTCTGTGGATCAAGTACATACATGCCCACCTGAATGTTTGAACTGTATTGGTATGTTTAAAAAAAATTGTTTTTGAGTTGAACAGTGATTTTGTATGGTTATTCACCACATATGGAAAAAGTAGTATTTTTGCACACAACATACATTAAAAACTGGCGGTGGAATAAATTCGACAGGAAGCTTAAATCCTATTGTTCTTTGGCCACGAGGCTGGGAACAGTAGGCCATCTAAATTTAGAAATTGAGCCCGGTTTCATTATTACCATTCATTAATACTACATCATTGTATGGCAGTAACTTCTTGGAGTGGTAATACTACAGCACTGTATGGTGGTTACTACTTGGAGTAGCAATACTACATAATTTTACTTATAGTGACTAGTGGTAAGCCATGATTAAAAATAAATTTGTGTAATTCTTATCATAACTTCAACTTAATATCGACAGAGCAGTGTTTCTCAAACTCGGGTCTGCTATCCTCTAAGAGGACCCCAAAACTGTTCCAGGGGGACCATGAAGGGGTCTCAAAATCCCGCAGCGTGTGCACTGAAGGTTTAAGCACAGTGTGTTCCCAGAAATCTTTTGCATATTTGACGCGCTAGCATTTATCTGAGGCGTTTCAGTTACCATCTGTCTCTCATATCTCCAACAGCCGGCGTGTCAGTTACCATCTGTCTCTCAGATCTCCAACAGCCGGCGTGCTAGTTACCATCTGTCTCTCAGATCTCCAACAGCCGGCGTATCAGTTATCATCTGTCTCTTAGATCTCCAACAGCCGGCGTGTCAGTTACCATCTGTCTCTCAGATCTCCAACAGCCGGTGTGTCAGTTACCATCTGTCGCTCAGATCTCCAACAGCCGGCGTGTCAGTTACCATCTGTCTCTCAGATCTCCATCAGCCGGAATGTCAATTCTTAGAAACCAAGAGCTCAACTTATTACTAAACAGAGAATGGACCAGTGGGTTGGGTGAAGCATACATCTCCAAACTCTCTTCATGCTAATAAAAATTTGTACAGTCCACTGCAGTAAAAAGATTGTACGCAAAAAAACTTTCTCCATCTTTCTTAAGCTTAGCAATCTATCATCTCCATCCCTTTTTTTTGTGTAAAATTTTCTTTTCTAAACGATACCTCAGATGCTGATTATACTTTGTATGTTCTACTATCTCATTTAATTGGCCTACAAAGATGACATTATTTTTAATTTTTAAATTTAAAATTAATAATTAAAATTTTAACAGGTAGTTGTTTTTCAGGTCATAATGCCTCAAAAAAGTTAATAAGATATAACGTGTCATATTTGAAAGGTGGATTTACTGTAACAAGCTCTGGCGGGTAAAAGAAACCACAGAGTGTTTTGTGTTCTGATGGCCAATCCACTTCTCTATAGTTCAGCAAGTTAAACAGACTCTTGGAAATAAAGCATCTTAGCTCAATAAACAAAGATGTCGACTTTTTTGAACGCCCAGCTGAACTATGGCAACAATCCAGGCTTTAAGTCACAGGAATGTTTTTGCAGGAGATAAAGGTTGGTCTAAAAGCATCCTATGAGGTTTCAAGGAAGATAGCTGCCTCCAAGAAACCCTACAGCATAGAAGAACAAATTGACATCACATCAATTGTGCTGGGAGGTTCTCAACTTGACAAGCAAACCAATGCCTCCCTGCCAAAAGATACCGTGGGAGGCTAACAGTGGAGATGTCTGATAACATATTGTCACAGTTGCTCTCAAAGATTCAGTTTTCAACTTTTTTGCTACCAAGCTTAATGAAACAATGGGTGTCGCTAACTTGGTGTCTGCATTGCATGAGAATAATAAGATATAAATATGAGAAGATTTTGTTTTGTTTTGCTGAACTCTCTGCACCAAAACAACTGCAAAATTTGGGAAAGGGGACAGATTCTTTGAGGCTCATCCTATCAAATGGGGACATGTCATTGGTGTGTGAATTGAAGGCAGTCCTGCAATGCTTAGTTGCCATTTCTGGGTTTCAAACTTTAGTTAAGCAAACATGTTACACACTGCACTGTTCATTGCCTAGCCTAAAACCATGCCTGTTGAGTTGAAACATGTTCTTAAAGAAGTGATAACAGCAGGGATCTTCATTAAAGTGAATGCACTCAACTTTAATTTGTTTTCCGAGTTTTTCTTGGAACGTGGTTTCAAACTTGAAACCCCGTTGTTTCACTCACACCTGAGGTGGCTTTGCAATGAGAAAGTTTTGTAGAAAGTTTTCACACAATGTGAAGAAATGCAGAAATTTTTTGCAAGATGCTCAACCTGACATAAACACAAAATTCTATGATGTCCGTTTTCTTATTTCCCCGTAATTTTTGGACGTCATATGTCATGAAAAATTGTCAGCTTTCAAAATGAAGCTCAAACTATGGTATGCAAAGTAAAAGAAGAATAACTTTTTCCCATTTCCACAGGTTAACACATATATTGATGGAAACTAGCTTAACGTGGATGACAATATCCTTCAGGTGATGTAACAACATTTATCAACTTTTAGCACTGAAATTTCTCATTATTTTCCTGACCTACACATTTTTTAAAAATACAATCGACTATCAACAACCCATTTGTACTTTACATTAGTGACCTGACTTTGGAGAACAATTTAATTCAAGAACAGTTGATTGATTTGATAAGTGATGGGCCTGCAAAACATGTCTTCTGTAAATTGTGTTGTAGTGATTTTTGGATTGAAAAGGCACAGCCCTTCCCGGTGTTGCAAAGATGGCTCTTAGAGAGTAGATTCTATTTGCAACCTCTGAGTGTGAGTTAGCTTTTTTCCCACCCTACTTGATGTCCAAACATTATCTCAAAACATATGACATGAGAGCTGCCTTGACCCACACAGAGCCAAAACATTATCTCAAAACATATGACGTGAGAGCTGCCTTGGCCCACACAGAGCCAAACCTAGAAGTAGGGGTTCAGTCAAAGTAGTTGCAGCCATACCATGCTTAATGCACCCTTGATGACTAAGATTTGATCTTTTCTGAATAAATAATTGTTTGTCAAAAATGTTTTGGTAATCGCCAGCAATTAAAAAAATTGTAAAGAGACCATCACGAAATAAAGCCTTTAAAATTTGAGAATCACTTGTATCAAGTTTTTTTTTTAAAAACTTCTATCAAAATGACTTTTTCCCCTTGGTGGAGTGACAAATAAGGTTATAAACTGACGTAAAACTCAATAATTGTGTTAGACGAAAGTCTAATTACACCTAAATGGCTATCGAATTCATCATCTGGATCCATTTTTAAAAAAAATGTAATTGATCATTGTAAAAAAAAAAACAAACAAAAAACAAATTGTTGTTAGTCTGATCAAACATACCTCAAGCATCTTTGGGAAAGGCACATCAGTTAATTTGTTGTATGAAAAGTCAATCTCCCTGAGGTATTCCATTATGTCCAGATTGTCAGGAACTGACTGGAGTTTATTCTTGCCCAGACGTAGCACCTCCAGTGTTCGTAAACGCTGCAAGTCTTCTGGGAGACATAGTATTCTGAGGGAATTGACAAAAAATAACAGCAACAAACAATAAATATCTAATTGACTGAATGAGAGAAACCAGAGTACCATAAGACATGTTGATTTAGGGAGTTCACTGAGTGGTCATTGACAAATGTAATAAACCTAAATATTGTTTATACAAACAGGCACATTTCAATGAGCAAGGTAGTTTAGTTTACAGAGAGGGTAAATAGAGTTAGACATAGTCCACGGTAATAAGGAAGTGACTGGAACCATCTTTCAAAAGGAACAGTTGAGGCGACAACACTAGACACATTTGTGTCTATTGCCTCAAGCCTTCAAACCCCTAGTGCATAATTTCCTCATCACCACCAGTAACAGAAACATGGCAAATCCCATCTACATGCATAGGAGCCAAAATGATCAATAAATTGATCGTGGGCCCTTAAGATATAGAAGAAGAAGAAGTGTGTACATTTATATTTTACATGGATGTTTCATCAAAGTTAGTGATAACTCATAGGGAAAGGGCTGACATTATTCAGTTCAGTCAACCAGAAAAGTAAGGACATAGGCAAGAGAATAAATAAAGACTGAGTGGGACATAGGCAACAGGAAAAGTACAGACTGAGTGAGACATAGGCAACAAGAAAAGTACAGACTGAGTGAGACATAGGCAACAAGAAAAGTACAGACTGAGTGAGACATAGGCAACAGGAAAAGTACAGACTGAGTGAGACATAGGCAACAGGAAAAGTACAGACTGAGTGAGACATAGGCAACAAGAAAAGTACAGACTGAGTGAGACATAGGCAACAGGAAAAGTACAGACTGAGTGAGACATAGGCAACAAGAAAAGTACAGACTGAGTGAGACATAGGCAACAGGAAAAGTACAGACTGAGTGAGACATAGGCAACAAGAAAAGTACAGACTGAGTGAGACATAGGCAACAGGAAAAGTACAGACTGAGTGAGACATAGGCAACAAGAAAAGTACAGACTGAGTGAGACATAGGCAACAAGAAAAGTACAGACTGAGTGAGACATAGGCAACAGGAAAAGTACAGACTGAGTGGGACATAGGCAACAGGAAAAGTACAGACTGAGTGAGACATAGGCAACAAGAAAAGTACAGACTGAGTGGGACATAGGCAACAAGAAAAGTACAGACTGAGTGAGACATAGGCAACAAGAAAAGTACAGACTGAGTGGGACATAGGCAACAGGAAAAGTACAGACTGAGTGAGACATAGGCAACAAGAAAAGTACAGACTGAGTGAGACATAGGCAACAAGAAAAGTACAGACTGAGTGAGACATAGGCAACAGGAAAAGTACAGACTGAGTGGGACATAGGCAACAAGAAAAGTACAGACTGAGTGAGACATAGGCAACAGGAAAAGTACAGACTGAGTGGGACATAGGCAACAGGAAAAGTACAGACTGAGTGAGACATAGGCAACAGGAAAAGTACAGACTGAGTGGGACATAGGCAACAAGAAAAGTACAGACTGAGTGAGACATAGGCAACAAGAAAAGTACAGACTGAGTGAGACATAGGCAACAAGAAAAGTACAGACTGAGTGAGACATAGGCAACAAGAAAAGTACAGACTGAGTGAGACATAGGCAACAGGAAAAGTACAGACTGAGTGGGACATAGGCAACAGGAAAAGTACAGACTGAGTGAGACATAGGCAACAGGAAAAGTACAGACTGAGTGGGACATAGGCAACAGGAAAAGTACAGACTGAGTGGGACATAGGCAACAGGAAAAGTACAGACTGAGTGGGACATAGGCAACAGGAAAAGTACAGACTGAGTGGGACATAGGCAACAGGAAAAGTACAGACTGAGTGGGACATAGGCAACAGGAAAAGTACAGACTGAGTGGGACATAGGCAACAGGAAAAGTACAGACTGAGTGGGACATAGGCAACAGGAAAAGTACAGACTGAGTGGGACATAGGCAACAGGAAAAGTACAGACTGAGTGGGACATAGGCAACAGGAAAAGTACAGACTGAGTGGGACATAGGCAACAGGAAAAGTACAGACTGAGTGAGACATAGGCAACAAGAAAAGTACAGACTGAGTGAGACATAGGCAACAGGAAAAGTACAGACTGAGTGAGACATAGGCAACAAGAAAAGTACAGACTGAGTGAGACATAGGCAACAAGAAAAGTACAGACTGAGTGGGACATAGGCAACAGGAAAAGTACAGACTGAGTGAGACATAGGCAACAGGAAAAGTACAGACTGAGTGGGACATAGACAACAGGAAAAGTACAGACTGAGTGGGACATAGGCAACAGGAAAAGTACAGACAGAGTGGGACATAGACAACAGGAAAAGTACAGACAGAGTGGGACATAGACAACAGGAAAAGTACAGACTGAGTTGGGACATGGGCAACAAGGAATCAGTACAACAGATACAGACGAAATCAGTACAACAGATAGAAGACATTTAGATTAAAACATAAATTACTTGTTTTCTCTTAAGTCAAGGCTCCGCAGGAGTTGATGTCTGCCAAGAAAATCTGGTATTTCTGTTAACTCATTGCCATTTCCATAAACATCTTTCAAAGAGATGATGCTAAAAGGTAACAATGAAAATTGTTGTTCCTAAACTTTTAACAGACTGAGGTTCCAGTTAAGTATTCCATAGTTTTGATCTGAATGATTTTTCAGTTAAAACATATAAAAGATGTTTCTTTAAAATGAGTTTGATGTGTAATAAGAAAAAGACTAGTTTCACTCTACCATAATAAGTCCAAGTAGATAAATTGGTTCATTCTACCATAATAAGTCTTAAGTAGATGAATTGGTTCATTCTGCCATACTAAGTCTTAGTAGATAAATTGGTTCATTCTACCATAATAAGTCTTAAGTAGATAATTGGTTCATTCTACCATTATGAGTCTTAAGCAAACAAATAAGCCTACCTTCCAATAGTCTCTGGTAAAGTCTGCACATGATTGTAGGAGTAATCAAAGACTATCAGTTTGTCCAGTCTGTTTATGTTCTCTGGGAGTGATGTGATGCTGTTGTTATCTACTCTGAGCTCCTCCAGGGAGGCAATCTGGGTGAGGACATCAATCTTGGTCAGCTGGTTCCATGACAGTTTCAGATTCTAGAACAGATAAATTGTCTGTAATTCTTAATCATGAGGCTATGTCAAGGTACTGTTAAAACTATTATGGGGCTATGCCAAGGTACTGCTAAAATTATCATGGGGCTCTATGTCAAGATATTGTTAAGTTATTATAGAGGATATGACAAGGTACTGTAAAAATGATGAGGATATGCCAAGGTACTGTTAAAATTACGAGGATATGTCAAGGCACTGTTAAAATTATGAGGATATGTCAAGTTACTGCTGCACTTGGTCAAATACTCTGGATTATAAGAATTTTTTTTACAAAATAAAATAAATTCTGTTTTATTTAGGGATTGAGGACCAAACATTAAGTATTTAAATATATAGTAGACCAAACACCAATTTTTTAATTAATTTATAATCTTCTTTTTATTTAAAGATAAATGATACGCCGGAAACAAAAAGCCAAGAAAATATAATAAATGTTTCATGAAGACATATTTGGAAATTTAAAAAAAAAAAAAAAATTTCCTGAAATACCAAGGAATCTCAAAACTAAATGTCAGCAATTGCAGAAGACACATTGGAATCCTCTTGAGTTAGTTTTCGTTTTTGGTAAAATTTACTGGGACAAGTCAAGATTTGTTAGTTAATTTATAATTTCTTTCCTATTAGCATGTCCTCTCATATAAAAGGTTTTCTCCCGGCCACCTGTGAAAATAGTCTCAAGCCTTACCACTAGATCTCGCATGTCATCAATTTCCTTTGGCAACTCTTCAATTTTATTGTGTGACAAATCAATTTCTTGAATGACCTTCAAGTGACCCAGGTCATGGGGCAACTCACTGATTTGATTGTAGGAGGCACGCAAGAATGCAAGAGAGAAAGTCTGAAAAAAGTATTTTGTTTGAAGAAAAAAAATCTTTTAATAAGTTATAGATATAAGTTAAAACAGCAGGATTTTACCAAGAATAAAGTATATGAGATCTTAGAATATTATGAAGACATGTACCAACTGCTTGATGATCCCATACTAAAGGGAGGCCATTGGTGTTTGGGGAGAATGCTCATATTATTATCGTCTATTTCTTAAACATTAGGGGCTACCATAAACACAAATTTAAATAAGTGCTTGAATATCTGTGTACAAGTGTTTTATTATTAATCCCATAAAATGAATAAATAAGCTTGAAGTTGAAGATAAATCTAACAGAGGATTTAAAAAAAAAAAAAAAAAAAACTAAAAAATATAAAGGAACTTTAAAAAAAAAAAAAAAATAAAAAAAAATAAAAAAGTGTTTTATTATTAAACCCAAAAAAAGAAAAAAAAAGCTTGAAATTGAAAAAAAATCTAAAAAAGGATTTAAAAAAAAAAAAAAAAGCACTGAAAAATCTGAAGGAACTTTAAAAAAAAAAAAGAAATAATAGAAATTAAACTTGTCTCTGTTGCATGTTGAGCTCCTGGACTGCCATGTTAGAACAACAACATCATGTCCATTAAATTTATTTCACCAGAGTCACATGTTGCAACATTTCCCATAAATGAAATGAGGACCTTTTCTAAAAATCAACAACATATTATTATGTAAACACCCCAGTTAGGTCCATATAGCACACAAGCACAAAATATGTGTACACATTTTTTTCCAGCCCTTCTTTTCCATTGTCCGCATGTGGCTGACAACCACAGGTGCATAAGGATATTCTAGGCATTATGATAACAATTATAAAATGCAAAGAGTCATTAGATATTAACTTCTAAATCAGATCGATATGGATCCATCCATTAAGTATGCACAGGGAAGGGGGTTGATTTTGGAGATTATGCACACTGGTGTGTAGGGTGGAGTCCGCAGAAAGAATGTACATTTAATAATTATCATGAAATTCTGACCCCCCTATAATTTTTAATAAAGAAACTGTCACCGAAAAATATGTAAAACCCATGATATTTAATTATTTTTGTTAATCTTAAAAGAAATCTGCAATGTTTTTTATTTATCGTCCTAGGTTGCTATGTGTGATGTAATTTGTAAAGAGATAATTTCGTTGGCCTGAACCAAACATCTGCACTGGCAGAACAAAAGTGGGGGACGACCACACAAATTTTAAATGCTTATGGCAGTGCTTTCAATACTTTTTTTTACCCAGTGCACAAACTAATCACCTTAAATGTTAGTTTGAAGCAGAAAAAAATTGGGGTCTCAATGTTATCTAAAGGAAAACTGAATTTCAATTAGGCTTCACTTTAGGTTTTGAGAATCAAAATTTTAAGATAAAACTAACAAAAATAAGGGCTATATATTTGTAGAGCAATACATGAAAAACATAAAACTTTTAAAAAGTAATGTTTTAAGATTACACCAGCATTTTGAAACATACTGTATACATTTCTTATATCCCAGAGCTTTGGCATATCTAGGTATAGGGCAACCCCGTACTCCTGGGTGTTCAAATATTCTAGTTCAAATATTCTAACTGTCCACTGTCATGAAAAACGTTTCAGTTTGCTGAATATGACGCCCCTTAATATAAAAGCATACTAGGGTCGACCGCTAACATATAATATGTCAACCAGAGAAAATCTTGCATTGCATAGTTTACATTTGTTGGTAAATAGCATACCAAATATTTAGAGTGATCTCCCTTATGACATTTTTACTAAATTCTTGATGGCTTCTGATTAATATTTTTTCAAAATTTCCCAGATAGATCAGCCATAGAGTAGAACACACAGGATGTATTGAGCAGTGTATAACTTACAAAAAAAGAATAAAAAAAAAAAAGAAACTCGTTTACTGACATCCTCAAAATCCTTAACTCCCCTCCCTCTTGCCCACTTTTGAATACCACCCCCCCACCCCCTCTCAATACTCCCTGAAGACCTTCTTTGTGAAAGACCCCTTTCATCAAAAAGTTTATTTTAACATCCTAGTTACCAGTTTGTTGATTTCATCAAAAAGTTTGCTCAGCTGGTTATGGGAAACGTCAAGTTCACGCAAATACTTCATGGCAGATATTTCATTGGGAATTTCCTGCCACATATGAATTGGGGTAATAAGGGGAGAGACTGCAATCAGGTTAGTACAAAATAAAATGAGTAAAACAGAGTAGGGTTAAACCAGGGCAAGGCGGACTTTTCAATAAGTGCGATTGTGGCTAGCACTAACACCGCCAGCCGGGTCAATTTGGAACACAGACTTATCCTGACTTACGGCACTTTGACGCCAGATGGGATTAATGTTATGTCTCTGTTCACAGCTTGACCCTAGCTCCGCCCCTCCACGTTCTGACCTATCACAGTGAACTTTTTTCTCCCCCCTTTTTTTCGCCGCTGCTTATTTAAACTCTCACTCATTTTCCTTCTGCCACACTTCTATTGCTGCCCACAGATACTACTTACCAGCTAAGTGCTATTTCTTATTTTTATAACGTTATTTCTGTTGTTTTGTTCGCTGACGAAGGCTTTCTGCCGACACGTTCGCTGTTTTGTTTTTTTTCAGGTTTAACCCTACTCTGTTTTACTCACATATGAATTGTTGAATACAAATTTACTGTTCCACTTTTCAACTTTACTTATCTTACAGTTTCTAAAGATAATTTCATAACTAAATTGAACATAAACAAATATATGTGCAGACTTTTTACAAATGGAGATTTAGGTTTGACATTTCAAGCAGTCAACAACAAAGGGGAGATTATTTGCCCTGGCCCGATAGTTTTAAATACTGGTGACATGACAATGTTCAATAAATATTTCTATGTAGTTAGGTGATAACGTTTTTTTTAATCTGCAAATTTCTGTTGGCAGCCCATTATTAACTTTTCAGTAAGGAATTTTAAAGATGTGCCATAAAAATAACTACAAATTTCTGTTGGCAGCTCATAAGAATATCTACTGAATAGATGACTGTCCAAATAAACCCAGGTCAGTTGCATTCTTAAGAAAGTTAACAGGTGCAACACACTGACTCACCAACAGAATTGGTTATACTAGGAAAGACTTATTCATCAATGATTTTTTTAGGTGGTAAACAGTACTCACCTTGAGTGCATATTTCTTAAGTTAAAATTCTTCAGAGATTGAAATTTACCTAAATTAATCATACATAACAATTAAAAGGCTATGGAAACTTCAGAAAGAAACCTGTGTTGACACTGCACCAAATAGTAACAAGCCTACCATCAACAAGTTGTAGGATAAGTCCAAGTAGGTCAGTGTATAAACTCGCTCCAAATTGATGGGGATGCTTATGATGCTGTTGTGTGACACATCAAGCCACCTTAAAGCTGGATTCTTCACTTTGGCACTAACGAGTGCCTTCAGCCTATTCCATGACAGATCTACCTTGGCTCTTACCTCATACAATGTTTTGGGGATTCTTTTGATCTGAAAATAAAATTGACTAAAATTCTAAAAGTGCTCATCAGATTAAGAACGTGCTTCTGATCTTTGTTTTCTTAAGGGACTTGTGCCCATTCTTGTAAATTTAATTTATTGTAACATAGAGGTGAGTTGTTGTGGTGGTCATTGGGGTTTTAAATTTAGTTGACTAATCCAAGGAAATCAGGTCCTGAGAACTGTGGCTTTATGTGCTCTTATAGTATTTTAACCAGAAAAAGAACAAACAAAAATAAAAAGCGATATAAAAAGGACATTATCTGAAAAGATGCAAATAGTACAAGTTATTAAATGTCTTGACTAACATTGAGTGACACAGCTTACAATAAACATATAGGATGACCTGGGAATTACAGGTTATAACAAACATTATTAATTGTGGAAAAGTTTGCCTCAACCTTTGAGGGAGATTGAAAATGGATTAAAAATCATTAAAGAACAATTAAAGAATTTTTTCTTTAAATAGATTTTAGGACATCAGAGCGCTGTGAGCATGTTAAAATAGCATGGACAGTACTCAATCATCATTATCACCATCATCATCATCAATTAGCAAGCAATAAGTTAAATAAGATACATGATGACCATGTAGTACCTATTATACAAAAGGCAAATAAAATTATCTTTTTATTGATCTTTAATTATAGAAGATCATTTTGCTGCAGATTTTATCAGATTGCATTATACATTTGTTCTCTCTGAATTTATTTGAGATGTGTTTGCTACCATAAAATCTTAGACATTTTGATATTACAATAATTATACTGTTGCTCACACTTGGTGTCTATTTTAAAGACAGAAACGCACGGCCAGTATATTGACTAAAATAATCTGTCTGTGCTAGTATGATACTAGTCTGTGTTAGTATGGTACTTAACTGTGTCAATATGGCACTAGACCATGTTAGTAAGGAACTAGAATGTGTTAATATTGTATTAGCAAACACCCTATTTTCTGTGTAAAAATTTAGCATAAAGCTGCATTTTTAACTATCCCAATATCATGGTAACGGTTATGAGTCAAATTTACAGAGCAAACAAGTGATTATAATACTGCCAAATATAAGTGACAGAAATCGCCCATTACTAACACCTAATAGTAATAGATATACTCTACAAAAACACATAGGTATATGCTTTACTTTCAAAACGCCAGACATTACAAGCGACCTGTGGTGCACTTAGGGTGGTGATTCCAACTTGAAATGCCAAACACGTGGAGTGTGCTAAGTATAACTAGATTTATGCGAACAAATTGGAGGACACATGTCACAACAAGCCATGTCTTGCAGCAGCTTTATATTAAAAGACATCCCCAAAAGAGTGACTCATGCAAATATAATGAAATATATAGAATACAATCAATTTCTTCTGGCAAGATATAATTTATAGCATAATTCACTAGGGTTCCCAAAAAATTAATTATTGAACATACAAAAAGCACAAATGGCCATCTCTTATTGTCCCTATCTAAGCCTGACCTAGCAAGCTAGGGGAGAGAGGCAGTTCACTCGATGCTGTTGTAACCTGCCATGCGGTCACATTCTATGCCTGTGTTGCACGCTATAGTTTTAACATGATGATAGGATATATTTAATTGTCTAGAAAAATTAGAAATATTGAAGTTAAATGTCTAGAGATATTAGTAATATTAAAGTTAAGTGTCTATAGATATTTAAGTTGTGACAAACACTGCCACATTATAATTATGCATATATATATATAAATATATATATATATATATATATATATATATATATATATATATATATATATAAAAAAAATTTTAGTGTCTATAGATATTTAAGTTGTGACAAACACTGACACATTATAATTATGCATATATATATATAAATATATATATATATATATATATATATATATATATATATATATATATTTAAAAAAAATTTTGTTTGACTGATGAAAATGAAGCCAACTTGCATTTTGCATTGTCAAAATTACAGCTTAAACTATATTGTTTTATTTACACAAAATGTCTGTGTCTCATTAACCTACTTAAAAGCTTAATCACAAACAGTCCAACCTTTTTATCATTAGAATTAAAATATTTTTACAAAAGAAACTATATTTAAAATAATATTTAATTTTATGACTTAAAAATGAATGATAATATGTGAAAATCAATACTGATTTAATTTTGTAATTATATTAAAATTTCATTTATAAAAAAAAAAAATTTGAGTAAATATCTTCCCAGCGTAGTCTTTGAATTTTTAGGAATTTTATATATTTTTTTATTATTTTGTCCTTTTTAACAACGGATTTGGTCGAATAGTAAAAATTTATCAACTGGTTGAGAAAAAGATGGTAAGACAACATCAAAAAGTGGACAGGACTAAAACTAGCCAAAGCTGTGCAAAGTGAAGAAACAGAGGAATGGAGAAAAATAGTTTTCATGTCATCTGTGACGGTCCAAGGACTAAGGGACATGATGATGACGACCCGAATCTGCTCCATATCTTCCTGTTCACATCATTTCCCCTGTTTAGGGACCATCCATAAATGACAACAAGGAAATTTTTGCCTCAAATATAATGTCAAAAATCTCTGCAACCCCCCCCCCCCCCCCCCCCCCCCCCCCCAACCGCTTATAAATTCCCTCTGTTCACTAATGTCCTTTACAAATCCTTAGAAAATTCACCTCCCATGGATATCAACATACTACACCTGTGTCGAAAAATTTCACTAGAACAGTGGTTCTCAACCAGGGCCCCAGGCCTGTGGTGCGGAAGACCAGTACATTGTATTTACTGTCTTTGTTAGTTGTCGCTACTTTAAAATCAGTTTTTATGCATTTTGATTAGCACATTACTTGCATTGGTAATTTTTTCCCTTGTTTATAAAAAGTTAATTTAAGAAATAAATCTACTATAACTAAATTATTTAATTATTCTCCTATTTTAAATTTTATTAAATTATAACTTAGACGCGGGGGGGGGATGTTTAAAATGGAGTGGTCCTGCAGTGCTAAAAAAAAGGTTAAGAATCTCTGCCCTAGAGCATTTACTAAGATTACATCCCACCCCCATCATTTATTTTTTTTCGTATTATCCCACTTCACGTGGTAGTCCTAATTCTATAACTCCCTGTCTCCACATTTTGACGAAACTCTCTCAACTGTCAATGTCACTATACCCATTTTCTCCTCCTCTGTGGCAGCCTTTAACTTGATCAGATGCCATCTTTCAGACCTCGCATACCTGCACTCATTCTCTCAGTGCTCATAGTTTAAAAATAAAATAATTATAATTTTTGTATAAAAGAATAATGTTAAAAATGTATGTAATTTAGGGTCATGAAGTGCAATTTTTACTATAATATTCCGCTTTTCATGTGACACCACATTGCTCAAGTCCGCCCTGCCCCGCCTTTTTTCCTTTGTCACAAATGGTCACAAAATTTGTGACCCCCTCCACACCGTAGATGCATGAAGTCATTTATGGATGGCTCCTTATTAAAAGTGCTCGACCCATCCTACATCAGTGGATTGAACTGAGGAGGACACTGAACGAACATTAGTTTCAAGGGGTCAGGGTAAAGATTGAGATACCTTTTTGTAAAGAATGTTGAAAATGTTTTTTTAATAGCCTGAAATTTCCTCAAGCACAAAACGATGTTACACATTGTGCTAAGTCTAGAATGCCAATGTTCACAAACCTGGTTTAATTTCAAGTTGACAAGCGTTAGATCAACACATTTGTTGATTGTATTAGGCAGGGCTTTAAGATTGTTGCTTTCACCAATCAATGTTTGTAAGTAGACACAGTTTTTGATGGTTTTTGGTATGGACCGGACTATATTGCCAGAGAAGTCAACCTGAGGATGTAAGAGATTGAATAATAACTTCAGATAATGGATTGATATTGGAGTTAAGTCCCTTTGATTCATCATGTTCATATTCTGATGACATCATGATGAGATTTTAGCAAAATGTGACATATTAGGCATTAATGTGCTGTATTGGTGGTCTAGGGAGATTGTAGTAACAGGCATATGTGACATAATGGTGGTCTAGGGAGATAGTAGTAACACTTAGTAACAGGGATTTATTGTGACATTTTGGAGCTCTACTGAGATTAATTATATAATAGTCATTTATAGTAGATGAGTATAATATTGCTGATTTAATATTCATATACTAGTGGCAGAGAATAATACTGATGACACAATGAAAAGAAAATGGTGGTGTTTATTTAATTATAAGAGTGAGAAGTTCATGATGTAGATAAAGGATGATAAATTTGATTATTGGATTGAATGATTTGTCACAATGAGAAAGTGCTTTAAATTATAGCAGTGGTTCCAAAAGCAGACAGTTCAAGCCCTTTGGAGTTTAGTTTGCCTTAAATGTGTGTATGAGGCAAAGAGGCATGGAAGGATGAGATGGGATTATACAAGAGGTAGTTTTAGGAAAGCTAATGACACCTATTATAAGGCATGAAATTCACTCACATACTCCAGGAAAACACATTTAAATAAGGTGGGTGGTAAAGATTTCACCCTGTTGGCTCTTAGGTCAATGTACTTGAGGTGCTCCAACGCTCCTACCTCAGAGGGCAATTTTTTTATTTTGTTGAACTGGACAAGGAACTTGGTGGTGAGTGTCATGAGCTCTTCATTCTTGAAAATCTCCAGGGGTAACAGTTTAAATCCAACGGAAGCAAAGTTAACAGTTACAGTTGGCCCTTTCTTTGTGGCTTCGATGATGAGAAGTTTTTTGAGTACATCATTGAGTGCTATGATTCTGGAGCCTGGCCCCATAGCAGGGATAGGCTTGGCTTTAACTTGCTTATTAGCCATGATTTTGATTTAACTAGGGGTTATTTTAATTATTTTTTTTATCTCTTGTTTTTTAAAAATTATCATTAAACTACTTGCTTTTGGGGAGTTTCCAGGCTAAATCAGCAGATGAGTCGAAAAATATTTTATTTTTTCTTCTTTAACTACAGTTGTAGATTTCTATTTAGGCCCTATGACATTGTTTGTGATGAGGTCACCTAAGTGGAACAGCCAAGGCATGTTGTTTCATATCTAATCTTTTCAATAGCTGGACCATGGCTCCCGGCCTCCCAACTTTATGACTAATATTTTCAATAGCTCCCAGTAAGTGCCTATTCTTTTCTATTTTTAACTTTTTGTTCCACATTGGTAAATGTGGATTTTGTTTTTGCCTATATTGGCATTAAATGATGTATAAAAGATGATGTTATCTGTGATTTTAAGTCCATTCCAGAAAATCTGTCAAAATTTAAAATGAAAAAATTGAACGACATAAAATACATCAATAAATTTTTTAAATTTCTTTTTTTAAAGTTTAAAGATAACATATTCTTCCCTGAGTGCATAATATTGACATGCATTATTTCCACTTCCAAATTAATTCTTCACATTTATTTTGTGTTTATGCATTATGTAATTATAAACAAAATGGATGTTAAATTACTTATTTTTTACAAAGGTCAATGGCTTTAACTTGTAAAATTATGAAATCGTATTAAAAATTCAAAAAGCTGTAACATTAAATTTTAGGATTGAGCAAGACACCCGCATTTGCCGAGCAGTACAACCCTGAAAATACCAAGAACCCTCAAATAAATAGAAACTGGGTCACGGTGTTTAAAAAAAATAATATATTTACAATTTGATTTTACATTTTTGCCTGCACCACGAATTAAATAAATAATAGAAAACTAGCCAGTGGTATGAAACTAAATTTAAGCTAAATGAAACTGCAAAGTTCTGAAAAAATAATGACCTTGCAGCTTTGCAACCCTTGTTGATGTTGCTAATTTTGAGTGATTAATTATAATTAAGTTTAAGTAGTGAATTCATACAACAAAACTTTATTTTTGTCAAAAATTATTTTAGTAATTGCATAAATGTGTCTCTCATTACGATATGACAAGAGTTTCGTGATTCAATAAAAATGTTAAAATGTAAAGGGGCCATCCATAAATGACACCATCATGCAATGAAATTTTGACTCCACCTCCCAACATCGTCACAAAAAGTTACAGACCCAAAGCATTCTCATTCTTCATTGAAAAATAACAAAAATGCAAAGCAATCAATGCCAACTAGACCAATAATAATTGAAAAATATATATGATCGTATAGAATAGCTCACCTGCCAGACACTTAATTTTAACTAAAAATGTGTTTACATTGTGACGGTTTTATATTTTATTTATTTGGTGTTATTTGAACGCTTCGAGCTTCTCAACCCCCCACCAACTTCCCCAATTGTATTGTAAAATGTGGAACGTAGACGTAGACATTTGATGGGATATGAAACAATCAAAAATATTTTTAAAATACGGCTTTTAATTTTTCACTTGTTTCTATTTTGTATTTTATGCTGTAATATGTAATTAAACTTGAGTATAGTTGATATGTTTCCTTGTTTGTATGTATACATTTCATTATACATAAACAGTTGCACATATGTGAAAAAATGGGTCGGAGACTAGATACCCACATTGATGTATTGGTGTGATTCCATACCTAGTGTAGAGTCGTTGTTATAGTATCTGACACCTGTCCCTGGTCCATTTTTCAAATCTTGTCCACTGGTCAGCCAAACTTAAAATTTGGGAAATGCCGGTCTACACAAGTGACGATGTTTATCGTTTAAATCCGCCCAATGACTAGCGGTCCACTCAAGTTGATTTCTTTTTAAAATCCTTTATATTAACTTCGCTTTTGTTCGTGTGTTTGGGGCAAAATCTTCGGATGGATATATGACCTAATTCTCGTCATCCTATCGAGCTGAAATTTTTACATAGATGATAGACTCGTTGCCAAAGACAACGCATTCTATCATTTTTGTCAGCCCGACCTCCTCGCCCACCTCAACAATCAGTTATTCCTGTTTTTCAAAATGAAGGGGAAGAAATAATATGATTTCAAATTTTTCAATGGGGGCGTGTTTTGCTGTGAAGATTAGATCTAAATGTGTGACTTTTACTATGGGCTTTATATTTGTGACGTTTTTGGATGTAAATATATATTTAGCCTATTGGATTTAATGTGTACTAAGTTTGATAAAGACTATTCACATACCAAAAAAAAAAATTGTTGATACAATCACATAAATCATGTAACTTCTCTTGCACTATCAAAGTGTGCTAACATTCTGACCAGCCATCTGATGTGCACAGACAGACAGGGCCGGCGCCAGAGTATTTGGCACCCCAGGCGAACCTGTCACACTGCGCCACCCACGCCCACGGCAAATAATTATTTAATTAATAGTGCCGCCCCCTAAAAATTTGCCGCCCTAGGCGACCACCTAGTTCGCCTAATGGTTAAACCGGGCCTGCAGACAGACACACATTAAATACCGTTACTCTTATATTGTTAAAAGCCTAAACATATATGACTATTTACACTCATTAAATTGTTTAAAATAATCTAAGTATAAGTCAATTTTTAAGATTAAAATTTTAATAGAAAAAACATGATTGTTGACGTCAACTAATCTATTCTAAACCCTCTCCCTCCCCCTTGTAAACAACTGTCAAACATTTCTAACCCCACCCCCTATTTTGTTGACGTAATTAATGGACGCCCCCTAATGCCTAATGCTAATAGAGCCAATTGTCAACTAAATATATGTTATTAAGGCTATAAAACGATCACCCCAATGTTTCGCGGTTATCGTCATAATTAGCTTTGTCTTTTCATAAATAGCTGGCAAGATATCCCTGTATTAATATTCAGCCTAGTACTAGTACCAACACATTAGTCTTTCCGTGCTGTTGACGGTAATTTGTTGGTGGGAAAATACATTATTTTTTGCGCGAATCTTGTCCCCTTGTCTAGTCTGGTCCTCCCTAATCTTCACCTTGTCCATTGTCTGCATTTAGTATTCCCTCAATATATTCAACCCATTCCGTAATTTAACTCTCCATCATTGCTCTCACATATTCGAGGCAAATCTTTGTATTATCCATTCTTTTCCTCTAATATTTCCCTCCCTTGTCTTCTATTTATTTTAGTTAAATTTTTGGTACTTCAATTTTAATTCACCGCAAAAATTATCATTACTTCTATTCTATGTCTATGCAGTTACAACCGGTTTAATAAATACAACTGCTTCTGTAGACATCATGAATTCTTTGACAATTTCTGCATTAGTTCACAATGAAGTCAGTTGTATCTTGTTTCTACAACAACACGGTATTATACATGCTGTCAGACGATGTGCTAACAACCACAAAGTTAACGGAATGCCAATACTCAACGCATCGAACATGCGTGGAAATTGGCAAAAGAGAGAAACAATGGCACACACAGACATATGCTCGATTATTATATAAATATAAGTGGGTTCATTTTGCGTCGACGTTTTAAAGCAAATGGTTTGAATGTATTAAACGCCATTCTAGACGATATTGTTCAAATTTGGCCACCTTAGTAGCGAAGGACTTTAACATAAGTAGAAATGTTTTGATGCAAAAGAACATTTGTTTTATTGGAAGTGTGAAATAGTGTATGATGTACAATAATTTTTTTGCGTCAAATTAAACGTTTTTATTCAAACGAACATTTGTTTTCTTGGAAGTGTGAACAATAATAACTTTTTTGGTGAATTAAAATTGAAGTACCAAATTTTTTACCATTCCCTCTTTTTCTTCTTACACATTTTCATGGTTTTTCTTCTGACTTCATTGTTTATCTGTCTCGTTTTCCTTTGTATCACGGTCATTATCAAACCAACCTACTCTACTCATAGTTTGCTGAAATCATACTACCGGTACTCTTTCTGATGATCTTTTCATAACATTTGTTATCCTATCCTGATCTCACTTTTCATTTTATCTTGTTTTGATGCTTCCAGTTGTGCTTCTTCTTCATCTTGGTAAGCTTTCACACTTAGTGGATATTTGATAATCATATCGTTTTTGTCTTTGACTTCGACCATTGTGTATTAGGCTCGTTATCTGCTTATATTTAACCCTTACATTATCAATAAGTAAATGGCCAAAGTCTTCATCTGCTCCTTGATAGCTTCTTACCTCTGATGTCTGATCCATGCCTCCATAAGAAAATGGTCAATTTGGTCATGAACGATTTCATCTGGTGAGTTCAGACCAAATATTTTAGACTGGAGCAAATGACAAAACAATGACATTTCAACTTCTATTTTCATTCCATATCTGTCTCAGATACTCACATCCTTACTTACGCAGTTCTCGTGACATTATAATAGTAATCTTTAAATTCCCTCTTCCTCTTATTTTACGTTATATATATTTTACATTTTAGTTATTGCTCCTGTTAATTTTTAACACTGTTAATTTCTAACCTCAGTTGTCAGATTTCTTTGAACCCTTCTGCATCCCATTGACTATTATTTCCTTTTGATTTGACTTCCATCAGCTAAAGTTATTTTTCTGTCCATCTTTGTTGTTGAATTCTTCTTGGCCAAAATATTAAAGTTTGATTTAGTTTTGTGACCTTTAAACTTTCAGGTTTTTAAGAGAATTTTTTGGGAGACTAATTTGGATATGCCGGTTAAAAAGACACCTTATTTCCCATTTAAATAAACATGGTGAAAACTTCAAAGTTGATGTTCTAAGTTTTAACCAGATTCTTTCTTATTATTTTTTACAAATGTTTTTAATTTTGAACCTAAGTATTCATACATTACAAGCCTATCTATGACCATGAACCAAAATAAAAAGCTATAAAAACTATTTAATTTTCTTTCTTTTAAATATGCATTCAGTCATTGCTAGTACAAATACAATGTATATTGCTCTTCAAAAAAGACATTTCACATAGAAAATATAGGTTTGATTTATTTTAATATCAAAATATAATTTAAACGAGCAGCAGATGACACATTTGGGGATTTTTTAATTTAATATAAATATTATCTCCCAAAGTTGTTCAATTTATATATTTATTCAGAAATGTTTTATTTTAATGGTAACATTTAATTTATGTAGCAGAAAAAAATAAGTATTTTCCGGCATTAATAACAAGTATTAATGTAATGGCAGATAATATCTACCATACATAAGCAGACATGAAAATGTAGATTTTGTTCAAATAAAACTTAAATTATTCAAATTCAATTAAATAACTAACCGGTACACTCAAACATTTATAAGACAAAGGAACATTTCTCAATTTTCTGATGTAAAAAAGCATTAGATGGAAGAAATAACTTTGAATTTCATAAAAGCCATTGATCATGAAAATTGCATCAGTTCCTTTTGATTCGACTTGCCGCTGTTGATTGTTTACCTAAAAATTACATGTAAAGAGAAAAATTGATTAACATTTCGTTTAACCAGTTTACACATTAAAACAAATGACAACAATAACTACAAATGTTGGTTAAAAATAAAATTTAATAAAAATGCATCCCATAGTTATTTTATATAGGTAACTAATATATTATTATTAGTAATATTAGTGCAGAGGGAAGAGAAATTTGTTAGCTGCACAACATTCTCAACAATCAGTTTAAAAAATTATGCAGGTTCCTGAGAAATGGGGCTAGTTCTTGAATTATGATAGGTTTTGCATGCTTTTCTCCCCCCCCCCCCCCCTTTTCTTTTTTCATTTTTTTTTTTTTTTTTTTGCACAAAAGATGTATGCTGATGCCTCACTATTTAGGAATATACATATATACTACTTCATCTCTATGCTCCACACACAAACTTACACCAAAAATATGTAGATATTTTTTCTCCCATGATATAAAGTGGTGCAAATAGTAGGAGACAACTGCTCATGAAAATAGCTCTTTCATGGGTTTTCAAAACTTGGAGCACTGGATACACCCAGAAGTTGTCATAGAATGCTATGAAAAGAATCCTGCAAATGAATTAAAAAAACTTTTGATAAGAAATTTATATTTGCAGTAATAAAAAGAAGTGGATAAACACGATTGGTTGGGATTCAATAAACAAAGAAAAAAGTCACACAATAGATATCATGTGAGGTAGCCTCAGTAAATCTGTAAACGAAATATACACATATTACTAATAGCTGGAACATTAATTCTAAAAAAATATTATCCATAAGCCTTCGTTCATAAGCTGACACCCAACACCCCCTAGATTTGGACAGGAAAAGTCTGAAAGAAACCCCCTCTAATAAGCCAACCCCATAAAATAATATGCCAGTGTAAAGCAAAAAGAAATCAAAGACTATCCAGAGTGAGATTGTACTGGTTTGTACTAGTGCTAAAATTGACCGGGTAGTGGTGCCATCCAC